CCCTGACCGTGGCATCTTCTCCAGCTCCTCTCTGCTCATCGCATCCTCTCCAATCTCATGGTTCTCTGATGCCTTGCACATGCTTCAGCCTTGGTGCATCTGCATCCATGGGTGCCCCTGCCTCATGTCCTTCAGCCCTGGTACATCTGCATCCATGGGTGCCCCCGCCTCATGTCCTTCAGCCCTGGTACATCTGCATCCATGGGTCCCCCCGCCTCATGTCCTTCAGCCCTGGTACATCTGCATCCATGGGTGCCCCCGCCTCATGTCCTTCAGCCCTGGTACATCTGCATCCATGGGTCCCCCCGCCTCATGTCCTTCAGCCCTGGTACATCTGCATCCATGGGTCCCCCCGCCTCATGCCCTTCTGGCATCTGCTCACATGGCACCCCTCAGAGATGCCTTCCTGGAGAAGCCATGTCATATAGCGTAAGAGAGAGAAAGAGAGACAGACAGACAGACAGACAGACAGAGACTCCACAGAAGCAAACTTGACTGTGTCTGCCCTGAGGCATGCCTAATAAAGAGAAGAGATCTAATTGTGTTTGTTGAGTGACTAATTAAGCTAATGGCCCAACTCTCAGGAGCACACACACTCCCTCATAGCCCCCCTTCTAGTCCATCTGTGTCAGCATCCTCTCCTTTCTGAGTCTGCCACCACCTCCCTAGGAGATACCTCCTAAGAAGTTCCCACTGAACTCCAGTACAGCTCAGCACCCCTTCCTCAAGTATCTGTGTAGCCTGGTACAGAACCAGGAAGACAGAGAGTCAGACTGACTTTTGATCCAAGGAGTGCAGGTCTCTTGATTCTGCCTCGGGCCAGCTGTGTGACTTTAGATTAATTGCTCAACCATTCTGTGCCGCACCTTTCTTATCTGCCCCTTGGGGGGATCATGAAGATAAGATCATCCACTGATAACTGGCTTAAGTGTTTAAAACATTCTAGGCAGTAGATATGGGGGGTGTCACTTAATGTGGGGGTGTTCATAGAAGGTCTCACTGAGAGGGCACCACTGGAAAGGGGAATTGACTAAAGTGGCTCTCCGTAAGCCTATATGACAGGTCAGACACAGGCTGCCCCTCGTCCCCAGGGAAATCCATCAGTGGATATAATAGCTGGATGCCAGGTGTCGGGGGAAAATGGGATTGGGTTGGTCTCTCCCAGTACCACGCACACAAGCGTGTGAGAATACTCACATGCACAAGCAACCTCAGGAAGACACTGGACCTGAGCAGAGGAGGAGGGATGCAGGCTGACCTAGAGAGGACACTGCTGCATCCCAGCTTGGGTCACTCCAGGTGCAGCGCCTCTGCAGCTGCCAGGAAGCCTCCGATGAAAGCTTCAGCTGAGTTAAGTGGTGCCAGGCCTGGCTGGGCATTTGCTCATGATTCCAGCCCTCGGAGGCTAAGGCAGGCAGGTCACAGGTTCAAGGCCAGCCTGAGCTACAGATCAAGGTCTTATTCTCCCAACATCGAAAGCTAAGCTTGCTCTCTCTCTCTGCGACACTGGGCTGCATCCTCCCTTATAGGGTGGCAAATGGAGCCCTTTCCAAGGCTGGCTCCAGGGAAGCAGAATGAAATCATGGATGGGGTGGAGTTGACACCTGGGGTTCTGAACACCAAGGCTGGCTCACAGCACAGGAAGGCTGCCAGAACAGTACTCACCAAAGAAAGCCCAAACATCGCCTGTCACTCTTGAAATCATGCTCCGCTCTTCTCCCTGCATGGTCCCAGAAGGAATAATCAGACCATGCAGGAATCATGGTCCCAACATGGCTGTCTAATCTGCCCATCTGGTCCTTCCTGAACTGCAGAGAGTCCTCCTTATGACACCATCGTGGACAGAGGACAAGCCTTTACCTAAACATAAGAATGATTCAGGGACTCCCCCGACATATACATAGATACACATACACAGACAAACATGCACATGCATACACACACACACACACACACACACACACACACACCCCTACATCCTTTATCTGTGCAGAGCATCAGAGAGCTTCATCCCCAGACACCTGCTCCGAGCTTTTCCCCATTAGACGACCCATCATGGATGGTGTCAGCCTGCATTAGCAACCAGGCTCATCACATTAGGCAGCAGCCCTGGGCTGGCAGCTACTACTTTGAAATGCCTCTTTACCCTGTTGTCACGCTCTCTTCTGCATCAGACACAGCCACAGGAGCAATCTGCAGACCCAGTGCAGACATGAAGGACCAGGTTAGAGGGCAAGGATTTCATGGAAGCCTGACAGATCCCAGTGTCCTGGGCCCTGGTGCCTGGGTGGCATTCAGGCCTCCCTGGGGAGCATTGAAAGGCTCTAAAGTGTGAGCATCCTTATGACCAACTGCAAAAGTGTAGGTGCCGTGTGTTCCTGAAAACACACAAAATAGATGCTCTGCCCATTTACTGTAAAAACTGGCGATGGCTGTGGTGACATCATGCACACAGCATGGTGTGACATCCATAATGCCTCTCTTCTACAAGCCTCCCTGGCTATTTATCCAGGTCACTAACAAAGCAATGGCCAGTCCCCGCCTTGTGCAGTGTTCCTGCCCAGTGCAGATGAGGAAAGAACTCTCATCTTTGTAGTCAGATGGGTCCTGAGATCAAATCCCATCTGTGCCTTCTCATATCTGGGCTACCCTGGGACAGTAACTTGACCTCTGCATTCTGTTTGTAATCCTACTGTGTGCTGGTACCTGTTTCATAGCTGTTGAAAGAATTATCTGGGAGTCTTATGTGAAGAGTACCTGGCCAGGCACGGATGCTTCAGTAGCTAGTTCAGGGCCAAGTTCATGGGGGAAGCTTAGTTTTATCCATTGTGAAACCTCAGCTCACACAAGCCCTCAGTGGGTGTTCACTTGTGCACACCTACCTGTGAAAGCTGGAGCTCAGCCCCCCTGTACCTCCAGAAAGGTCTGATCAAAGCTTGACCTTGCTCATGTCTAGGTCATCACAAACACATTCATTATATCAACCTTCTTGATGTAGACAGAGCCCCTTCTTGTAGATTACCCCCAATCTACCCTGTCACCTTTGTTCTCACAGTGGGCTTTATCACCATCCCGGCTTCAACCCCCTTTCTGCTGACCTGGGGACTCACATTCCTCTTTCATGTCCCCACCCGCTCACCCAGTCTCAGGAAGCCTCTCAAGACCCACTATGCCTTGTGCCTCCTCCCTGGGGCACTTGCTCAATTGCTGTGTGATCTTTCACCCCATCTCCACCCCTTCCCCACCCCCAGCTATGGCAGCCATGTGATGGTGAGGCAGGGGTCCTGAGTGCTTACCAGGTGAGCCCTTGGGACTTTGTACAAGGCTCAGTTGGTGTTGCTGAAAGAGTGCGTAGGATGGGGAGTGACTACCTCAATAAATCCCCATGACCATCCTCAAAAGGAAGAGGACAAAGTAGGTTCAGTCAATGACCAGATCATGGGGCACATCCCAGCCCATCAGTCAGTGGTTACATAAGCTCAAAGCGGAAGTCTCCCACTCTCCCACAAAACCATTATTTATGCCTGGCATATGAGACCCAAGAGACCAACTCCCCCCTCTATCCTGACACACAGAAGACCCCCAACACTGGCTTCTGGGACCCAGCATCTCTTCTGTCTAGACCTTATTCCATCTGTGTGTTCTCAGAGTTGTTCATGTGCACGCACATGCACACGCGTACACACACACACATGAGCCTGTGAACAGCTCCAAGTTGGGACTGGGAGAACTCTGCCTTCTAGAGGGTGCTGTCAGGTGACTACCAATGGGTTTAGGGCCCCCTCTTCTTGCATCCTGGGGTGATGTTCATCCAGAAGCTAGTCTTAATCTAACCCCTGTTGTCATGCCAGCCAGGGCTCCTCCGAGAGTCTTTGTGAGGGAGAAGATCTTTGTGGCTCTTTGTCTCCTTGCTTCTATCTAAGAGCTCTGCTGTGCTCTGTAGTTTAGCTTGTTTGGGTCTTTTAGAAGAGTGTGTCTTTGTTCACATTTTCCTGAGAGAACTCTCTCTCAGTGGCCTAGCTCCCCAGCCCACCATGAAGAAAACGCTTGCTGACATTGCTCTCCTCAGTCCTTCAGTAAACACTTCCAGAATACCTTCTAAATTTCAGAAGCATGACCAAATAATTTACTGTCCAAATGGGGACCAGTTTAAATGTGTCACTAGCTAATTCGTACTTGTGGACAATTGGTGTAAACAAAGATGCCCCATGGCCAACCAGGATGCACCAAGCACTTGTATACTATCGGCTCATTTGGGGTCACTAGAGTCTTAGGTAGTGGAAGGCTTTCCTATAAGTGTCCCGTAAAGGTTAAAAGTAAAACTAGAAGGGGACCCAGGCCACTGGGGGCAAGATGTAAAAACACAAGAAAGATGAATGGAGGTTGAAGCTAAATGACAGATTCCTAAGATTTTTCCCACAATTGCCTTCCTTGAATGGATTTCCTGTTTAAAAAAGAAAGAACATACATACTACCAGCACTAAATGGACTCAGAAGGTTGGGTGTATGTGTGTAAATGTGCACATGTGTATGAATACATATTTGTGTGTGTGTGTGTGTGTGTGTGTGTGTGTAGCAATAATAGCCAAAGAAGAGGTCATGAATTTGAGACAAAGTGAAGATGGGGCAGGAGCAGGTGGAAATGATGTAAACACAGCACTCATATTTCAAAAAATAAAATGTTTAAATTAAAAAAAAGGGGGGGAAACAGACTGGGAGAGAGCTTAGAAGACTATGTTCCCATAATGGGATCTAAGTCCCCCTGAAGGGCGCTGGGGGAGTGTTTCAAGTTTATAAAGATGTGATGTCACCCTCCCCTATCTCCCAGTGCCAGATGTCAACATCTGCAAGGCCCAGAATGTGGTGAGAATGGCAGCTGCCTTCTGTCACTCTTGGCTTCAGGGTTGTGACTTACTGTGTGGTGGTAAGGGCACAGCACGACCCATTTCCTACCAAAAAGAGACTTCTGTCCTGAGCACTGTGCCTCTCTCATATCCTAGGTGCCCGTCCTGAGACCCATGGACCTGATGGTGGAGGCCACCCCACGAAGAGTGTTTGCCAATGCGCACACATACCACATCAACTCCATATCCGTCAACAGCGACTATGAGACCTACATGTCTGCTGATGACCTGAGGATTAATCTGTGGAACTTTGAGATAACCAATCAGAGTTTTAGTATCCTTTCCTTCCAAGCCAATAGCCTATTGGTCTGACTCAAGGGTATCCAGGTAGGAGTGGGCAGGGGAGAAAGAGGTAAGGAAAAAAAACATCAAAATGGAAATGCCTGGCAACTTTGAAGGAAAATCTTAAATTGTGGGCACAGCAGCAGCACTAGCTCTGGAATGTAACTTAAAATCATGTTTTTACACAGTAAATAATGGCCCCAAAGCAGCTTGACATGGCAGTCCTAATGCAACTGAGGATCCAAGACACCAGGTTTGATGCCAGCACCTCAATCAAAACAAAAACCATAAGCGTTATTATCTTCCACTTAACTCAAACTGGGAAAAGTCAAAACGACTCCCAAGTGTCTGTGTGAGGCCAGTGTCTGACATCATTATATTCATCTTGTATTTAGTGATAAAAGCTGACCTCATCCTGTGGGTCACAACCCTCAGGACCATCAGAAAACTCAGCTATTTACACTATTCGTAACAGTAGCAAAATTACAGTTATGAAGTAACAATGAAAGTGATTTTATGGTTTAAGGGTCACCACGACATGAGGAACTGTATTAAAAAGTCCCAGCATTAGGAAGATTGAGAGCCACTGGTCTAGGGTGTGCCCATCCAGTCCATCCTAAACCTGACTCTTAATTCTAGTTCCCAACTCAGTTCCTGCTCTCAGCCCTCAGGGAGTTGAATTCTGGCTCCCAATTAACCTTGTTTCTTCAGTTGCCGGCTCCGCCATCCCAGCCCCGCCCATCCCTGAGCTGTCCACAGTGAACCTGGGACAGCTGAGATGCCTCCATCCCCACTCTTACCTACACTCACTGACACCACCACCATTGTCTCTTTCCCCTATGGGGGCCTGATTCCTCTCCTTCAGCACACATGCCCTGCCTATCAGTTACCATGTGACCCACACAACATCCTGACTGTGCACCTAACACTCCCGTAACTTTCCAGTGAACTGGAAACTCTAAGTCGTTTCCCAGGGTCTAGAAGATTCCACACCATCTGGGCCTGACTGCCTCTGACACCTGTCATGTCGCTCTTGCCTCACCCACTCTGCTCCAACCAGAGAACCATGTTTCTATTCCCAGCTAAGCTTTGCTCTTCCTCTTTCTGCACTTGCTGTCCCCTCTATCGGGAAATGTGTCCCCAGAGTTCTTGATTCCAGTCTCAATCGAATCTACTGTCTCTGTAGAGACTAGGCTCCCATTAGTTCCCAAGTGACTGTATCCTTGCTGTCTTCATCATGCTCATCAGAACTTGAAATGTTTTAGCATGTTTTAGCATGTGAGGTTTTTAGTTTTCCCCCATCCTACACTCACTGACACCATGTTCTCATGTTCATGAGAACAGGAGCCCCAAATGGCCCATTGCTCTATTCCAATGGATTTTAGCATTCTGTACCTGAAAGCCTTGCACACAGCCAGAGTACCATTGTAGTCAGTGGTCAGAGTGGACCTATAGGAAACTCTTCACTATGAAGCCTAGCTTGGAAATTTAACTTGCAAAGTGTTAAAGCCGAGCTGAGGGAATGGGTTCGTTGGTAAAGTGCTTGCTCAGTAATCTCGAGAACCTGAGTTTGATCCCCAGAACTCAGGAAAAAGAAACGAGATGTGACCGCACTTTTTCATAATACCAACACTAGAGGTGGAGGTACACTCACTCTCCAGCCTTCCTAGCCTATTGGTAAGTTATAGACCTGGAGGAGATCCTGTCTATTTGAGGTGTGGGGGTCCTCTGAAGAGCAACAGCCACACACGGGGATGCAACTCACACACCTACATGGAAAGGATGTTTGCGCAAGGGCACACAGCTCGATAGCCACTACCACAGAGACATCCTATGGTCCCTGAGGTTCTTAGGAAAGGTGTCCGTAACCAAGTTCTGGCACTGAGATACATCTGGAGACACTGAGAACTGGTCTTTGGGACTGTGACTGGGTAGCTCTCATTGGTCCCAGAACAGACATGACACACTGTGTGGGCCGGAGAATAGCTGACTCTGGCTGCAGAGTTCTCCTGGCAGAGCAGCTGCTGATAGAATGAACGTAGATGGCGGTCGCCTTTCCCTCCTCACATCTATTCCGAGAACCAGGAATCTGCCTGGGCTCAGCCAGCTGTCACTCTGAGCTTATGCTTCCCCAGCCTAGGTGGCATGTTTTCTGAATTTTGCCTCCAGGCTTTCAAGAGGGAAAGGAACTTTCTCAGGCATTTGGGGAGACAGATGCCTTGGGGAGAATGCAAAGGGGACATATTAATAGTGCCTTTTAGGTTCTCTTCTACAGATGTGTGACAGCCTGCCAGATGCTGGCATACAAATGAGACCTTAGCGCTCACCCTTACCGCTGCCATATGTAAAATAATCACTGTCATCATGTGGGTGATGATAACTGATATCTATATACTGCCTGTCAGCCAGACTGCCCCCAGGCAGGAGGGTATGCAAACCAAGGCCCTTTTGCCTCTCTGCACTGAGGTGTAGCTACCTCTGGAGCAGGCAGCAGCCCTCTTCCACAACATCCTCAGAAAAGTATCAAGAACAACCCTTGTCTTAAATACCTCCTGTTTAGCACCTTCTTCTGTTATGCCTTTTATCGACCAGAGGCAGGAGCATGGCTTGGGATGCCTGGGGTGGCAGGCAAGATGCTTCATAGAAATACATGGACCGTTTTCATAACAGTAGAGGCAGAAAACTCGCATCCTGTGAGGTCACAGATGCTAAAAATTCCACTTAAATCACACAGTATACATCCACAATTAACTCAGTGAGACAAGTAGCAAGGAAGTCTGTCTGGGGACACACAAGCACAGCACTGATGTCACAGCTCACAACACAGGATTTAGAGTCTGACAAGAACAGAGCTCTTACCCAGGCCCACCACTTTCTGACTGTGAACCTTCTCACAACATGCCTTTTATTTACCCAGACTCCCATTCTCCACTTCGTCCTCCGGAGGGAAGAACACCACCAAAGAACTGTGAGATGGCAAAACTGCCTCCCCCCGACTCCCCTCTTACACACACACACACACACACACACACGTTTTGAGAAATGCCTTACTGAGTAAACAAACATCTTGATTTTCTGTTGACTTAGTGGCTACTCCTGAATCTAATGATATTTTAACTACCGTCTGTAGGGCCTGCTGCCCCATAGTCAGTGCTCCGTTGATCAGGCCACAGCCTGGCAGGATTTCTGTTCCTGCTGGCACTGACTCTGCTGCTGCCACCAGATATAGTTTTTAACTAAGTTTCTATAGTTCTGTTCACCATAAAGACTGAGGAGTCAGATATTGGGGTAGAAACCTGGGAGCTCAGAGAGGCAGAGAAGCAACCAGCTGACCATTCTTTTCACATTTCAGAGAGAATGAATGTCTCTCCATTCATCCCAAACCAAAACACTGTAAATCTCTAAGGCCCTCCCTACTCCTTCCTGTGTGTCTCTCTATCCATCTTCCTGGATCTCCTGTACTCTCTATGGCTAATTCTTGTCAACTAATCACTGACTCCGTTCCATCGGCCAATATTGATTTTATTAACACATTCTCAGGGGTCACAGTGTTATCAAATATTCCACAACAGATCAGTATAACAAAGTCTGATAAAAGTTATGCTTCTTGTTGAAGAGATGAAAAAAAAAACTAGAGATGATGACCAATGATTTCTACTTTGTCATTGTCTAGATTACACTCTTAAGTCTACATTCCTCCTTCAGCTCTAGACTTGGTGATATTTATCAAATGTTACTCCTTATAATCTAATCAGCATCCATTTTCAGAGTGTCTGAGGTCTAGGGCCTCACATTTAGCATTAGGTAAGAGCATGCCCATCCTAATTTTTGGGTACTTGACCACAAGCCCTCTCTATCCACGGACACCCAGGCCATCCCAAATAATGGGTCCTTTCTTAAAGTAAATAAAATTATCTTGATGCATCAGGACCCCATTTCTAGGTTAGTAATTTTCTAGAGCAAGAGGTGGCCCTGGGCTTTAATAAGCGAAGTTTGCTCTTAACACATTGCTTCTCTGGGAATGGGGAGATGGTTCAGTGGGTAAGAACACTTGCTGGACACACATGAGGACCTGAGTTTGAATCCCCAGCTTAAAAATTGCACATGACTATAACCCCAGCCCTGGGGTTTGGGGGTGACAGAGACAGGCATATCTCAGGGGCTTGCTGGCCAACTATCCTAGCCAAAATAGGGAGCTTCAGAATCAGTGAGAGAACTTGTCTCAAGAGAACACAGCAGAAAATGATAAATCAGGACAGCCAATAACCTTTTCTGACTCTATGTTTACGCATAGGCTTGCACCCTGGACACACATATACATGCACACACGCATGCATGCTGAACACACATTCCCAACACACACATGTTACTATTTCTTTTTGAAAAGCATGTTATACACAGATTCCTTTGAATTCTTTGTTGGTCAGGAGAGCTAAGAATTGATCAGCCAATGAGTTTTATCTTGTAAAATTGCAAACATTGGGGCCAGGTTTTGTGCCAGGTACTGCACTAAACCTGACAAAAGAAAAGAGAAAAAGAAACAAAATTGAATTTTCAGAATGACATGATACAAATAATAACACCAATATGTGTTTCATTGTGAGCTGAGACAAGCTCTTAAGAGAAGAGAATTAAATTCTTCAAATACATTTTTTAAAAACTGGTTTTGGACTAGAAAATGAAGGGGGCTTCGCTGAGGAACTGATCGTTGAGTTGAGATATTCAGAGAGAGACTATAAGCTAACTTGGGCAAGGAGGTGTGGAGATATTTGCCTAGTGCACACCAAGGTCCCTGTGGCAGGAGGAATTCTAAGCAGATGGCCATCCCTGGACACAGACTGGAAAGCTTAGGCAAGGATACTCTTTGTGTAAGGATATCTCCGAAAGAAAAAAACCTGGATATTTATATTTGATCCCAGCATCTTCATAAGGTAGTTTTGTTTGTCATCTTGCCCCATTCAGGATGCACAGAGCCTCAACTCTGTGATTTCC